GCCTTATTCCATCTGCTGGTCTCTCCCAGACGTCTTTACACGCATAGCAATAGCATTGCAATAATGCAGTTTTTGTTTTTATTGAGGGAAATACTTGTTTAAAGGAGGTAATATTGATGCTCTTAAGGTACATTACACTGATGGTGCTGAGGGACATAACGTGTGTGTTTGTCACACGACATTCATGTTTGTGATATAATAAACAAAAGAAAAATTGTTAGAGTTAAATTACCCAGGCGATGGTGGTTGATATATTTTTAGTCATATCGCTGTTTGTGATGCCTTAATAAAGTTTTTTTGTTGTTGCAACTTTAGATATATTTGTTATTTTATTGTTAAATATAAAAATTTCAAATATTAAATATTTTTAAATATATGTTCTTCATTAAATTTATGTCCAATGAATCTTTCTGAAAATAATGTTAAATAGAAAGTTGTGTTACATTTTCTCAGTAAAATATTTTACTACCTAACAAGTGTGTCTGTTACAACAGTGTTTTGTTTTGTAGGAGTTGACGTTTCCACGGCGGCGAGTCTGAAGATGGCTGTCTTCTGGGTTGTTATGTCGTGTAGTCTGGTAGAAGTTTACCAATGTTTCAGAGGTCCTTGCCGCCTCACTCATCGTGGCGATGAGTAAGCCGCACAAGTGGAAACGCTAGATTCATAGGAAACGGAGAATCAAGGAAGAGCCTAACCCTAACCAGCGGGGACGGGCGTTAGAATCAGGCGTTTGTGTCATGCCCCTGCCATGCTTTACCCCCAGGGACCTAGTCTGGATGCAGATGCTAGAAGAAAAACCCTTTTCTTTGCCAGGGACCAAATATCAGTTCAGTCTGTTGTCTGACACTGCTGATCCAACTGCTGCTTCCATTTTTGATGAGTTTGGGATTGCTGTTATTCTGTTTTTTGGGTGTTTAGATGGTCGTAGTGATGAAAGAACTTTGTGAGAAAAGGATAAGAGATTAAATTCAGGAAATGCTTCTTGATGGTTAGTTCAGTATATTTTTATCTTTTCAGCTCATATAAAGAATAAAATTTACAATGATGTTTTATGTGGGTGTGAAACTTGGTCTCTCGCTATCAGTGGAAGACATACAGGGTGGTTAAAAAGAATGTGCTGAGGGGAATATTTGAAACTAAGAGTGAGGAGGTAACAGGAGACTGGAGTAAATGAGATATGAGAAGTTTTTATAATATTTATTCTTGATTGAATACCATTTTACCTTTTCAGGCACAAAACATAGGCTTGTATGCCTGTTCCATTTTCAAGGAAAATCATCTTATGTGTGGTCAATCTGCGCATCGTTCATTCATCTTTAAAGGATGTTTGTGCTAATTCCTTTTTACAGTCTAGGTCTCGATTTCCGCCGCACACGTACTACAATTTTTAACCTAATCCATGAGTGTAGCGCTGTTGGTCTTAAAAATCTTATTTCAGTTAATTCATTTATCTGCTTATCAGGTTTGTTGATTACCATAGGGGAGGATTTCAAAAGCCATGACCTTGTAACATTCTAATCTTGTTTCCTTTTTATTTTTATCAGTGATCGTATTATTATAGTGTCGAAATCAAGGATTATGAGACTGGTGGGGCATATATCACACATGAGAATAAAATAAATTCAGCATCCAAGATAAAAAAATTTGGGAGAGAAGACCACTTGCAACACCTAGGTGTTGGTGGTGGGATGATATTAAAAGGAATCTTAAAGAAATAATCTGTCAGGTTGTGGGATGGATTCATGTGGATCAAACTATGGTCCAGGTATGGGTAATTATTGGGTAGATATTGTGACAATTTCCATGGTTTTATGATGACACTTGTCACAGAGAAGCAGGCATATGCTATTCTACATATTCGTTTGTTGTGTGGGTGTAAAATTGGTTTTTGGAACGTTACGCAGAGAGTTAATCTTGTTATGTTAGGTTATACACAAATTGGAGGAAAGGTCACGTGACCCAACCAACACAGGTGTAAGATGTGTTGCCTATATTGCAGGTCGGTTTAGCATGCATTAATAAAATTACAGTTTTATATATCGTCTTTTCTGAAAGGAAATGTTAAACAAAAATGAAATAACAAAGAATATGATCCACAATTAAAAATATATCGAAAATAATCGAAGTTACAAGACAAATTCATTCGTCATTAAAGTAAAATGAATGATGGATCGATTATGATTTGTTCGATATAGTAGTGACAATTGGTGAGTGTGATAAACGACAGGACGAAATTAAAATTGGAACACAAAACATGACCGATAAGATAATATTAATTTTTTCTTTATAAAATCTTGTTTGTAACAAAGATAACCAATCATGCGTGGCGTAGTTTTCCTTCGACACATGAACGCTTATCGACTACATTGCCGTTAATGAAGGGAAATGATATTTATTTATTTATTTAGTGTTCTGTCTGGCGACAGGTCCCTATGAACAGGATCCTTCGATCCTTTTCTCGGACTGGGACCTGTTCATATACGTTCTTGGCAGATGATCCAGAAGTGGTTTGCCATTGCCTTCTTCTGTGCGTGAATGGAGTAATTGTTGCGATGCCACGGAGGAAAACTCCGTGTTGCCTAGACCACGGCCTTGCCCAACACAAGTTATAAATTCGGGCACAGCCGGGAATCGAACCCGAGACCCCAGGATTACAAGGCCAGCGTTCTAACCGCTATATATAAGACGCAAAAGAAATTATTTATACCAGACTAAACAGTACATTAGAATAAACTGTGTATCAGATAACATAACATGGCATGTTGTGAAATATTAGTGTTCGCAGGTTAATGTTCAAAATGAGCTTAAAGTAACTACGTATGAAGTGTGGACTGGATTCACACGCTCAGGAAACAGTTAAACGGCTAGTTCTTTGTCGATATTGCAGTTAACCACTCGGATATCATCTTCTAAAAGAAGACTCAACTGAGTGGAGTCGATTAGTTTTTCATTTTTCCACCCTCATATAATTTTAGCGCTAATGATATAAATACAGATTCTGTATATAATGACTCGGCAATGAATCACCTACTTTTACTCTTTTCACTTACAAAGCAGTTGAACTGAAGGTGTCCTGAGCTGACGTGTGGTCTTAATTCTGCGACGGTCATGACATATTCCGAATAAGCACGAAACATACGAGATTTTATCTTAAATCCGTGTCATGTTGCAGGGCTCATTATGTATGGGAAGCTTCGCTTTGTCCCGAGCTCGACTTGAATAATGAACTGAAAATTAAACGTGAAGTAACCTCTACTTCAACTATCCTATTACAAGGGTCGCAACTTTTAATTGCGTTCCAAACTTGGTTCTCGAGTTTGGCATGAAGCCCTGGGTGCCAATGTGGGAGCCTGTGGTCCACGAGCCGGATGCAGCCGTCGATACTAAACTTATCAGCCAAAGACGGAATTTAATTAGAACCAATTGCGAATTTCTGTAGAAAATAAATGGGTTTAAGACAGAGATGGACGTTCCTGGGACGCTACATACTTGTTCATAGGAGGTAAAGATGACTGGAGCATTAAACTTGTTTGTGAACACTTGAATAGACATTTTTCGGGTTTTTGAATTTGATTTTTTTTTGGGGTGGGGGGGAAAGGACCGATTTCTTGGCTGCCTAAGTCTCCTAATCTCAACCCAATTGTAGTTGAAGCAGATAAACGCAGTGGTGGATTTCACTGTTTTTTTTTGCGTTTAGATTTTAGAAGCAAATAATTTAAAGGGGGATCAGATCAAGTATGATTCTACGGCTGGGGCATGTATCACGCATTGGGTTATGGCAAGTGCATACAGAATTTTAATCGGAAATCCTGAATGAAGAAAGTAACAGACATATACGTAAAGAAGGGAAATATTAAAAAAATGATTTTAAATAAATGTATTATGAGGGTGTAGTCTGGATTCAGCTGGTTAAGCATAATCCCCAATGGCGGACTCTTATGAATACGGAGATGAACCTTAGCTGTTTAAAGAGGGGTGTGTTACATGAACTTTCGTCAGTAGTTTGTTGTTATGTAAATGATGTGAACAATATTTTATACGCTGGAAATTGACGTCACGTGATTAGTACGCGTGTTTTTGTGTTTACGTATAATAAAAGACTGTCGTCTTGTATATTATTATGTTAAAGCTGCCTCGTCAATGTTTTTTTATGGAATGGAACGATTTACGTACAACTCTGGCGACTGCCTTCTGAATAGAAAGACTGTCGTTATAGGAAATTAAGATAGAGACCAAAGGTGACAAGTGATGAAGTGTTAAGATGGTGATTGGGTATGATTCAAGTGAGCTATGACCTGTGATTGGTAGTTTACTTTAGTATCGATTATAGTGCTACCAATGGTTAGTCGCGCAGAATCCTGGAGGCTGTGAAGTTTCAGTATTCTATCACTAAACTTTTAGTATAATCGGGTGCGTCTCAGTGGCGAGTTGAGGGGGATTGTCTACGTCAGTACGGTCCCTGACGCGCGTGCAATTCCTTGCCGTTTTCTGTCTCTCCAAACTGGATCGCAATTTCTTCCGCGTGCCGTCAAATTCTGTGCGATAAAAAAAAACCATTCATTCCGTGACAAAACAAGTTCCGACCATTTCTGCAATGTTTGTGGCTTTACAGCTTGAACACATAGTTGTAATTCATCTGTGAGTGCAAACGGGTGCTAGAAACACGATTTTCCGTCGTAACATATTGCAAATACCACTCCCTTATTATATAAA